CAGAAAAACAACACAAAATTGAAGAATATGTTGCGAGATCGAGACTAAAATATATTTTAGATACCTAGTTTTAAGTCAATGTACAGGGTGGGTCAAATTCGACGCTTTTAAATGGAAACACCCTTTTCTATAGGAGATAGACTAAAACTAATATCGGTGTCTGGAGCTCAATTTTTGTCAAAAACATGATGGTGAAAACCGCATATCGATATCTGTTACCGTTTCGGAGTTACGGGGTGTTTTTCAAAAATATGCATTTTTAACAAATCACTGTAACTTTTTTGCTATGGAAAATTTTGTATTTTTATGAAAACATTTCCAAAGCACCTTTTTACGAAGAAAAAAATTTTTAAAATTAATAATTTAAAATTATCAACAGAAAATTTGATTTTTATATACCTATATATTTTGGACACCCTATATATTTTTAATTTATTGAAAAGGATTTAAAATTACCTTTCAAAAATATAACACACTTGATATTTTGCTCGATTCCTCTTCGAGATATAGAGTATATAAAAATTCGCCCGCTTTAAATAAGTAGGCTTTGAACGGCACCGGCTGTAATGCAAAAAAATTCTAGCTGTGAGCATCAATTAAAACGAAAATAATATTTGCTATGAGAGATGCAGAATCTTATAACAATTTAAAATATATTTAACCAACATCAACACATTTAAACTATACCGAATAACAATAAAAATAAATAGCAATCCAAGACATGAGATTTTGCTACAGATGTTCGACATATCAACCTTATATCTGTTATGGACAGACGGGGCAGTTTTTGAACATTTCTCGCGGAATTCATTAACTCAGTGGGGGTGAAAGATACCCTTTCATAACTGTTAAGTATTTTTAATTATTGTCTAGATTATACGGAAGAATAAGGAACCTTTATTCGCAAATATATCCAAAGGATTAGATCCATGGGCTCTAAGTCAGGCGGCCTCGACGGCCAACGGCTGGGATCTTGGTTAGCTATCCAATTATTCTTGAAATTGGATGCAAAAATTTGCTAATAACTTCAGCGTTCAGAGGCGGTGCGTCGTCTTGCTGGAAAAATATGTTTTCGAGTTCCATTGATTAAGGGCATATCATCAATAAGGGGTCCAAAGCCTACTAATTAAAAGTGGCGAACTTTTAAAAATTCTGTATTTCGAAGGGGATTATAACCAAATATCAAGTGTGCTATATTTTTGCATTATAGAGGGTGTCCCAAATAAAAAATCAAATTTTCTGTTGATAACTCTTAAATTATTAATGTTAAAAAAATTATACTTAAACCATTAAATTCTACGTAAAAAGGTGCTTTGGAAATGTTTTCATAAAAATACAAAATTTTCCATAACAAAAAAGTTACAGCGATTTGTTAAAAATGCACATTTTTGAAAAACACCCCGTAACTCCGAAACGGTAACAGATATTGATATGCGGTTTTCACCATCATATTTTTGATGAAAATTGAGCTCCAGACACCGATATTAGTTTTCGTCTATCTCCTATAGAAAAGGGTGTTTCCATTTAAAAGCGTCGAATTTGACCCACCCTGTACAGATTGTCCCATTTTCGTGTTTTTTACAGGACTTCAAACGTACAAAGATGCGGATTTCACATTAACTATGCTACTTTTTTATGAAGCTAAAAATGCTGCATATGGATTTGTTCTATCTCATATCCCTCTTAGATCCTGAAATAAGGGGCGAATTGTTGCATGAACATTGCACTCCCCTCTCGTATCTAGGTTATCGTATAACTTCGAAAGGATGAAAAATGAGTCCCGATAGAGTTCTTCCCATAGAATCCAATGCCGTAACTAGTTTTTCTCTGGGAGCTATTATTCCTGAAATATAACTCAAACTTTTTTTTTACTGGAACACTCTGTATGTAACGTCTGCATGTACTACCCTTTAATCAAGGGTACTACTAAAAAATAAAATCCGGTATTTCACACTTATTCTATATTTATAATCTTCCTAAGTTCCTAAGATTTATATTTATAATACTAGAGATAAGTAGGTCTGGATAGATACGAATCCATGGACCTTTTTCCAGTGCCGGTACTGATGGATGTAGGTCCTACTAAATATCGACCACTATCCGCGGAATTGCATTGCTGACAGTCAACCAGTCATAAAGAGAACATAACAGATACAGCACGATAAATAAACCAGGATTGAAGAGTATTGGAATGAAGAAAGATGCCATTTTATTTCTTAAAAATATTATGTGTTAAATGACGAGCATTTTGCTTCTAGCATGAAGTAATCCCTATGCAGCAGTTTTGATGGAAGGCTGTAATTGTGTCTGGACTATCTTTTATTAGTATGTAAAGTTCATGATGTTTTACCTCATAGCGTTGACTCAGTCTCATAAATTTGAACCTTAAGTTATCTCTACCAAATAAATAGCAGCTAAGATCAAGTGATAAGGATTTAGCAAAACACAAACATCAGCAGTGGGATTCTGTAAGCTCCGTAGCAAGAAATTTTCTGTCTAGCCTAAGCCTATGCTATTTGTATATGATTGATGAGTCACTAGACAGAAAATATGTTTACAGAATCGGGCCCCAGATTTCCGGATTACAAACGGATTACAAAACTTTTTAAAGCGGGTTGCTTAAAGCAAAACAAAATTTAGTTAAATTAAAATTAAAGATTAGAATGATATAAGAGATCCGACAGAACTGGAACCTGGATATAGGTCCATGATGCGTGATATAACCTGTGATATAACTCCAGACCCGACTCTTTTATAATACCGGATATACCTACCCATCACTAATTTATACACTTCTTACAGTTAATTCTGTAAGCCAAAGTTTCTTCATTAAACCTCATATAACGAGTCGTAACGAGTGAATAAACATACTAAAATTACAGCTTGGATTTATCACAGTTTGCATTATTTCAATAAAATAAATTAAAAATGTATTATTTCTTTGAAAAGAATATAATGAATAAAAGAAATAGCACATAAATAAAACAATAAACTCAAAACAGGAGCTTTTATATAGAACAATACTAAACATTTCTAGGTGCATACAGGTATAGTTGTGATACTCTCTGGGTATAAGTTTTAAAAAAATGTCATTAATTAAAACTTATCTTTGGTTAAAAACGAGACATGAGTTGTTTATTCTTTCAAATAAACTTAAACGCCTATAAAAATAAAGTCTAAATAATATCTACTGGGTGCGTTTCAAAAGTAGCCTACCGCTATAACTTTTTTTATTTTTTCAGATAAAAAAACGAGATTTGGTATGTTAGTATATGACATAAATTAGGATGTATTGACGTGTTCAATTGTTTTTGGTCTCTTCCTGTTTCAGCGGAAGTGACTACAACTTTTGATTTTTAAATGGCACCGGTATTTTATACTTTATTCGATTGAAAATGACACTCTGAATAGAATGACATATCATATGTCAGCTTTTGACCTTTTCTCATATGGTTCATTTGTATCGGTACCAAATTATTCATAAAAAATGCTTTTTCCAAATATGCTAATGAGCCGCCCTTGTTCCATTTGAAAACATTGAGATATGATTAAACATATTATTTGGGCAAATCACGATCAAACCTATTTTTCCAAGGCTCCTTGATTAAAAATTAGTGTTTTTAATTTAGCCATTGCACTCTAGATTGAAATTTAAAATACGATTTCTTTTATGCGAAAATGTCAAAAGTTGACATATGATATGTCATTCTATTCAAAATGTCATTTTCTATCAAACGAAGTAAAAAAATACCAAGTAAAAGTCATTTCCGGTGGAACAGAAAGCGACCGAAAAGAATTGAATATGTCAATCAACCCTAATTTATGTCATATATGCTAACATACCAAATCTCGTTTTTTTTATCTGAAAAGATAAAAAAGTTATAGGGGTGAGCCACTTTTGAGACGCACCCGGTATTATTTAGGTATTATTTAAGCTATTGTCTATATTTTAGCAAGCTTATAGCAATAATTTTCATAACCAACAATTTTCTACGCAAATTGACCGTATTGATAGACATTTGGCAAACTAAAAAATCTCCCTTTAAAGGTAGTTTTTGGGTGGTTAATGACAGGGGCGCATATACGGGTGCGGTAACCCCTACCAGGAAGGATATTTAAATAAGATTAAATGTGATATAAAATATAATTCGTTTAAAATTGTCACACAAGGAATTAATAAAACCAATTAAAATTGAATATCCAGACCAGTCCAAGTTTATTTTTTACTACAGACACACTATTTTTCAGCGAAAATTTATTTTTAATTTTGTACTTTATTTAAATATTGCCACTACCCCTCCCAGACTAAATCTTTAAACGTGCTGAGCTACCATTTTAGTACCATTTTATTCCACAAGCACTATACAGCGTGAGTCTTAAGTAAGTGCAAATATTTTTAGGGGTAGTATCTTTCGACCCCAGAAACACGATTATGAGGTTTTTTTCGCGAATAAAAAATTTCGAAAATTGGGAATAAAATTCCAAATTTTTTTGGAATTGTTTGTTTTTCGTTAAAAAACATTATTTCTTGATAATATTGCAACATAGGTAGTAGATTAAATTTACAAGAAAGAAAATCCAAAAATGATCTCAAAATTTAAGCAAAAATAATTTTAAAAAATGTCTATACCTATGTGGCGGATTCATCTTTCCAAAAAAATCCTTTATGGGTATTTCGCCACTGCACTGCAAGAAAAAAAACGGCAAAGAGAAAATATGTTTCTTTTATCGAGATCTACCAGACCTTAAAATATTTGCAATTATTTAAGACTCACCCTGTATAGTTAAAACTTTCCTGAACTACGATTTTATTTCAAAAAAGCATTACTGAAATAAACTATTTATATATAATTTCTCGTTTTTTTTTTATTCATAATAGTTTAGGAACTAATTAATTAATAGTAGATTTGTCCCCCTGGCGCCAAAACGTCTAGTTACGCCACTGACCGTTCTTAAAAACCGATAATAAGCGTTAAGCATCGGTATCAATGATACGCCAGCATTTACACATATCACAAAACTTATAAATAGAAAGAAGCAGTACCGGAGAACACAAGTTTTGCGGTACGACCAAGTTCAACAACAACCACGAACCATGGCACCAAACGATAACCTCACAGCTGTGCTCTACGGAATTAACGATTTACGACTGGTGAGTATCTGTAGATTGTTGTATCTATATAGTTATTTGTTTATTGATAACGGCTGTCATTTCTGGCGAATATCTGGGAAAAATGTATCTTAGAAAAGATTACGGGTCGTTGTTCGTTGGCTTCGTTCAAAAATAAATAACAAAACAGTCACCTTAATAATATCTATTATCTATTGTATATTATACCTAGGTAATTTATGATAATGCGTTCTATAGGTGTAGGTAGCCTATTAATTTTAGACTAAAATTATAGATAAATATCTATTAAGCTGGACAATTTTTTTTATATTAAATATAAGTGGAATGAAAATAAAATCGATTTTGCAATTTTTATTAGAGTTGTATACGTTAAAAAAAAATAAATTACCGTTTACTTATTAGATTCTAGCTGTTTTACATGTGCTCTGTCTATTAGTACCCATTTACATAATATTTTTACTAGTATAAAACAATAAAACGTACGTACTTATTAGTTGATACTGATAAATATTTTTTTACAAAGATCTAATATAAAACAGTAAGCTATTTTTTTCAGTTATAAAGAGTATTTAATAAAATTTAGTAATGTTTCTGAAAATAAATTCGAATCAATAACATACTTAATTTTTTTATAGAAAACGATATTTATGAATTAATACTTTAATTACCTAATATAATTTCGATCACTAAGCAATGCTACATAAAATCATTAGTAGGTATATTATAAATAATAATATAGGGGGTGTCCGTCCCAATATTCCGTGGACATAGAACTACTACATATTTGTGGAGTCAAAGTTCATTGAACACAATTTACCTCTATACAAAAGTGCTTCATTTATCCGTTAGAGGGCATCAAACTTTAAAAAATAAACACATTTTTTAAGATATTTTAAGAACCAATATTCCGATTTGAATGAGATTTGGGGTGCCTATGTTTTGCTAAGCGCTTTAACCTTTGACTTTAAAAAAATGAGAAAAAGTACTGGAAGGGTGAAAATTACCCCCACTCCTACATAAAATTTACTAGAAATGTTTTCCACCGACGACTGATTTTTTTTTGTAAAATGGTCCTTCTTCCTTCTTGTACCGTATGATCGACAAAAACGGCGTCCAGTTGACTTAGAAATGAACATCGATGACACATTTCCTATATAATTTAACATATAAAATGACAGCCATCTTCATTTCATAGCCATCGCTAACGCCGTTTTTTTTTCGATGATACGGTATTAAGCACATATTTGGTCTCTTGTAAAAAAATGCCCCTTTAGGGGGCATCAATCAAAAACATACCCGAACTTACCCGAAACTCGAAAATTTACGAAGTTTATTGTCAAAAATTATTTGTTATACTAACATCACATTCCATATTTTCGCCAACTAGTACCAACTAATTATTAGCGCATACTAGATTTTATGCACCTACAAGTGTCAAGATATATTTTTTGTAAGTCAGCTTCGGAAAAACATTTTTTTTTCGAAAACTATGCGCGGTGGCGTTATTTTTTTACAAGAAGCAAAACATGTAGTAAATACCATAAGGACAATTTTACGAAATATTAATCAGTCGTCGGTAGAGTTGCAAAAAAGAAATATATAGTAAAAAAATAGTCGTAGTAATATATAGTAAAAAAATAAACTTTAGTATGCGCTAATAATCGCTAACATTTCTACCAAAATGTGTGTAGTGGTGGGTGGTGGAGGTAGTTTTCACATTTCCTGTACTTTTTCTTGATTTTTGTGAAATTCGAATGCTAAAGCGCTTAGCAAAGCATAGGCACCCCAAATCTGATACAAATTGGAATAACGGTTCTTAAAATATTCTAAAAAATGTGTTTTTTAACTTTAATGCTCTCTAACGGACAAAAAAAGTATCTATAGAGATAAATTGTGTCCAATGAAATTATTTTGATCTCATTCTGACACCCTGTATATTAGTGTGCGAATGTCTCATCGAGTTTTTAGATACCTATATTGCTTATTTGGGTATATAGGTATGTTACGGGGGCGGATTAAGGGTTCGGGAAAGGTGGGGGGGGGGGGCTAGACACAAACTTTACTCACAGTACATACTCCGGAGTCAAATTAATAATACCGTATTACATGACTGCACCAAACTCTGGGACGCTTGTGCCCCGGAAGGCCCCCCTGTAGATCCGCCCCTGGTATGTTATATATCATTTGAAATATTATAAGTTTTTCATCCAACTGACAAACTTGGAAATTAAAGCTTTTCTAGTGCATAACTGACATTTTAGAACCTTTTTGTTTCTATATGTTTCTTTTATGCATAGAGCAGTTAACAAAATAAAAACTAAAATTCATTTTAATCCTACTAGCAAACTACACACTCTGCCTGGTGAATGTGCAATTTGGGATTGAGATATAATGAAAGTTGGATTACTCTATCCCTATACCGGGTGCGTCTAAAAGTGGTTCATCCCTATAACTTTATTTTTCAGATAAAAAAGCGAGATTTGGTATATGATATAAATTAGGATTGATTGATGCATTCAATTGTTTTTGGCCACTTCCTGTTTCACCGGAATTGACCACAACTTTTGATTTTTAAATAGCACCCTCAGTATTTTTTACTAGATTCGATAGAAAATGACACTGTGAATCGAATGACATATCATATGTCAACTTTTGATATATTCGCTCAAAAACAAATTGTATTTTAAATTTCAATCTAGAGTCTGGCTGTGTTAAAAACACTAATTTTTAATCAAGGCGACTTGGAAAAATAGATTTGATCGTTTAACGTTTTTAATGTCTTGTCCTGGCCGGTTAAAAGATTCCCAAATCGTATTTTTAATCATATTTCAATTTTTTTTAAATGGAACGAGGGTGGCTCATTAGCATATTTGGAAAAAGCATTTTGTTACGAATAATTTGATACCACACACTTGGTATTTCGAGTCAAATTGTCGTTATGAACCGCATGTAACAATTTCAAATAATCCATATGCGAAAATGCCAAAAGACTGACATAGATGACATATCATATATGTGAGAAATGACATATCATATATCATTCGATTCAGAGGGTTATTTTCATCGAATAAAGTAAAAAAAAATACCGAGGGTGCCATTTACAAATCAAAAGTTGTAGTCATTTCCGGTGAAACAGGAAGTGACCAAAAACAATTGAATATGTCAATCAATTCTAATTTATGTCATATACTAACATACCAAATCTCGATGTTTTATCTGAAAAATAAAAAAGATATAAGGGTGAGCCACTCTTGAGACGCACCCGGTATATAACAAGTAAATAACATTTTGTGTCGATTTAAAAACACACTTTTTTTAAATCAACCAATTCCTAGGGATTTTTAATATTTATTCATGTACACCCTTATGTATTAGAGCAATACTTTGAAATTTGTGTTACTAAAGATGGTAAATTAAAGACAGTAGCAAAATTAAAATAAAATTGATATTCTTATATTGGTGATTTGACAAAAATTTTCTAATCAAAATTTCTGTTCTCAACTTAGATAACTCAGTTTTATGGAGCATTTATTTCATAATATTTATCATAATAAAATTGCTCAGATTTTATTATCATTTCAGACTTCTGCATATAACTGATATTAAGTTGCTTTGATAAACAATTATTGCATATAAAAATTATTGTTTTATTCAAGGTAATATCACCATAAAGATTTCATACAGGTAACAATTATTATAACAGTAAAAACATGCACTATAAAACATATTTGTGGGTGTATACATATAGACAGACATATCAACAATATTAAGTCACCAAGTTAAAATACGGTAATTTTAAATGAATCCATACTAATTTAATGAATAAACATAAGTACTTTCGAGATACAATAATGTGTAAATATATTAAAAATACACATGTGGAATTTATGGTGGTAAAGTAAATATTTCTGTTAGAAATTAGCACAAAATAAAAATATTTATTTTAACCATACATACATGGTAACAATATGTTTTTATATCATAAAATAGTTAAAATATAACATTTTATAATGAGTTATAATGACACAAATGTTAAATTTCAATGTCAGAATCGCAATATAACATTTTTGCTTTAAGGTACTGAATTTAAATCATAGCAAAATAAAGAAACAGATAATACTTTGTCTCTCAAAGCAGTACTAGAGACTTATTATTTATTAGCAATAAACAAGAGGAATACTTGGAAGTGGTAGATTATTTACTGAGGTTTATCAAATCATCGAATCAAAATACTTTGTTTTTTTAATCTTAAATACAAAAATACAAGATAAATTTCTTCTAAGTTTGTTAATGTATGAGTATGTGTATGAAAATATACAATATTCCTATTGTCAAGGAAAATATTATAGTTATAATTATTTTTGGTACTGTTTAATGAAATATATCGTGTTGATAAAAACTTCCGTCTAGCGTATAAAAGTAAGAAACTTTTCTTTAATATTAAGAATTTAATATACAAATTACATGTTTTTGTTAATTTAAAAGTTGATCTCAACTTATTTTTCCATCTCTTGATATATTATTCAATAGTATCAATATTTAATTAAATTTTATCAAATATTGATACCTCTTTAAATCATGCGACCTCATACGAGTACAAGAAAATATTGCTAAATTAATTTATCATAAAGTATACTTTCCAAGGCCTTCAAACTTCTCCTATCTTGTGTTTATTAACAATTTTTATAAATATGACCCCCCGATTAGATAGAACTAAATTAATATTTTTCCATTAAAGGAGTGAATTTCATTTTCTATAGATAATTTTAGTTACTTAAGAATGTTTGTTTATATATATAAATAGCCATAATTTTTTTCTACTAATTAATTAATAATTGTTTATACTATTAATTATTTTAATTTGCAGGAGCAAAGACCTGTCCCAGTACCCAAAGATGATCGTAAGTGTTTCTTGATATAGTGTGTTTCTTGATAATATGTGTGTGTGTTAAAAATAGAGTGTGTTGAATCTACAACCCATTATTTTTTTCCTTTAAAAAATAGAAAATTTGATGTTTTTGAAAGATTTAAAAATAATTCTTAATGGCCTGGTATAATTTTGTGTTTCCGATAGTCCATGACAAACAATTGACCAATCAATTATTGGTCAATCACTCTCAAAATTTTTTTTTGGTAATTTTCCCTATAAATAAAATTTAAAAACTGAAATTTTGCAAATTTTCGCTGAATTTTTCGCCGGAAATTTCTTTGGAAAGCTTTGTTTAAGCTCTTAAAGTAAACCACCACCCACCACTACCATCACAGAAAGAGTAAAACGCGTATAAGCTTTAAGCCTGTCCTACACGATGCCTCCAACGTTGGACGCATCATTTGGCATATGCTTTGACAATATTGCAATTCACAAGTGTGTTTCCTACACGATGTGGCAAATGTTCATGTGTCCAATGTTAGTTAGGTGTTGATGTGAATATAGACACATCGTTTGGGACCGGCTTGAATGACTATTAAAGATGATTATTAAAGATGGTTGTTTATTTTAGAGTTGGCTAACCATCCTCTATTCCAGAGGACAGTCCTATTTATAACGCTGAGCTGTTTTCTCTCACGTATTGAAAAAGTCCTCTTTTTTACATACCAAACTCAAAATCTAAAAAATATTTGTATATCGCCACAATGCTAAAAAAAATTTAATTTGTTTTTCGCTACTCCCACTCGTTTGTACAGAAAATAAAATGAAGAAATACCGTATGATCGAGAAAAAACGGCGTTAGCGTTGGCTATGAAATGAAGATCGCTGTCATTTTATATGTAAATTTATAGGGGAAATGTCATTGATCGTCATTTCCCAGCCAACTGGACGCCGTTTTTTTTTCGATCATACGGTACTTATGTACAAAAAATATTTGGTGGAAGCGATAAACATGTTTAACGATTTATATTTACTATAGCTTATGTTACGATAAATTCTAGACATTTGAGCGAGTTTCCAAAAAAAATGTGTCTCTTTTTTGCTCTCTCGTCTTCTATTTTTTATTTTGAAAGTTGGCAACCTTAATTTATTTTGACAGCTGCATTAGCCACATGACTTGATTAAAACTTGTTTAAAAACTTCAAAATTAAGTCAACATTAATAAAAAATATTTAAAAAGTATAATGTGTCCAAAACTATTTTATTTTTTTCTTAATTCACTTGTTTTAACACTCTACGTGTGGAAACACTCTACTAGCTCACCCCCACTTCGACAGTCTTACTCTACTCTCCCAGTTTGCTATAGTTTACCATACAAATGTAAAAAAGGCACTATACTAGCTTTAGAAGTGGAGACTGTTTAACCTTTGCAGATCTTTTGTGGTCTTCTTCTGATTCTTAGATTACATTCTCTAGTCCTATCGTTTTCACAAAGTCTAGCAAGTTGAAGACTGACGTACGTAAAATGTGTTCTGTCTTTTCTTCTTCAAACTCTTTTGCCCTGGTGGATTTCTTCACCATTCTAAAGATTTACTGGCCATCCATCGTTTGGTGGCCATTCTCGTGACCACTTTTGCTTTCTGGGCCTATGAATGGCATTGATAAGCTTTATTTGGCCATTTCATCTGCCTTTTCGTTACCCTTGTGACCCTCATGCTCTTGTACCTAGGCTAACGTAATATTGCTACGCACACTCAAAGTATTTAGAGCAACACACACACAATCCTACACTACTCTATAATTGACCTCCATGGAACCGAGTGTCTTTAGCGCTGCTTGGCTCTCTGTGAAGATGGCCATCGAACGATGTATTCTTTGCTGCCTTATTATTTCTTCTACACATCCTTAGATAGGCTTACATGAAAAGATATCCCTTGTTCCAGCTTCTACGCTTTCTGACTTTCTTGAGCCGTCTGTATACCTTTTATACAGTCTTCCCTTCCTTGTAGCTGTTGCATCTAGCGATAATCCCAATACCCTGTCTGCTTTTAGCTGTTCAGTTAGCTTCTGGTTTTCAGCACAATGCGTCTGGCTTATGTGCTGCTGACCATTAACCATCTGGCATCGGCTTGTGAAAATATGTAGAGGTGGTAAGTTCAACAAAACTTCCATAGCATTTGTAGGAGAGGTTTTCATGGCCCTTGTTACACACAGGTAAGTAAGCCTTTGTGTGGCACTTAATAGCCCTACCACGCCCACTTGCAATGTCTTTTTTCACCACACCACCGACCCGTACTTGAACTGAACTATCTTTTCAAATTACTGGAGATTTGTATCTAGTTACTCTGCAAAAATGGGAAAAGTAGAATATTTTAGAATGAAAGTATGCTAGTGAATTACAAATATTAATACCAATGAAAACCTGCCTGATGTTCTACCACGTCGCTTGATCGCTTCGTTCACTGCTCTTAGATATTAGATCTAATGCTGAATGCACATTGAAAAAGCAAAACGGTTTTAGTCAAAAACGTTTTTGTCTCGGATAAAAACACAGTGTTTGGAATGTAACGGGGTTTCTATCAGGACAGTGTCTCCTCAACGAACACGTCAGTGATGGGAGCTGTGAAAAACGGCGAATACAGATTCTGTGGAGAACATGTGGAAACACCAGAACACCTCATCACTGAGTGCCCAGAGACGACAACGGTTCGTGCCATAAACGTTGGTACAGCTGATGTCGGATATGGAGGACTGGCCTATGTGGACCCGTCTCAGATACTGGCTTTTGTCAAATCTCTAAGATTGTATGATGATTTATAACTCGCTATAACTCAAGACACAATAGATCTGTAAGGTCGCAGTGATTAACCTTCCTCCTAAACATTCTACATTCTACAAACTCTCTAAAGCATCTGTAATTTTACTTTCATGAGAAGTCTATCATTACTGATCACTTACAAATTTGTATTAATTTTCCTGAACAGTTAAAAAATGTGTTGTCACAATTAACTTTATTTATTTAATGCAAACCAAACTATCTAAAGCATCTGTAATTAAATAAGCGATTTATTTATATACAAGAGAATAGTTCGCTTGTGATAAAAGTCCGATATACTATAAACAACTATATTCAATATGATTTTCATATAAGCCATATAATCCCTCATGTCAACCATATAAGGTTGACATGAACGTTAAACACATACTCAACATAATTAATGCCAGATAAAAATGTTATAAATTATATTACGGGCTTGCTATAAAACTAAGCAAATAGGTGTTAAATAAAGTGGCGTTCTCAAAGCAGAAACTTTGTATTAACTTGAATTTGATATATTATTAAAATAATTACATTTTATGACGGAATTTTTAAGTACAATTATCTAATAAAATAAAAAAAATTGCCAATGCATTCTTCTTTTTTATTTACTTTTTATATTATATATTTTTTTTTAATTTTTTCTATGTCCATTTTCTTCAAAATTAAGATTTTCAGACAGAACTATGAAATAAGGTTTTGTGGATTAAATGCAGAACTGTACAGGTAATAATGCAAAACCAGGCAAATACCAACGTACCTTAAGTTGTCATTGGTTGTCATCCTATAAGTTTGTCAATATCAAATAATTGTATTTTCTAAACGTTAGGTTTTGCCTCATTCACTAGTTTTAGAGACCAAACGCACTGACGACCAGGTCGCAGCGACGAGCCATTGGCCAGGTCCATGGACAGGCCATTAAAATCAATTAACGATGCAACGCGCACTAACGTCCACGACCAAGCGGACGCAGCTTGGTTGCTGCGACCAGTAATACCATTAATAGGTACAACTAAATTTTCAAGAAAAAGCTGTAATCTAATGATACAAGCAAGCCACTTTGCAGAGGTGTTCTAGGGACTTAATAGAATGATTTAACCCGTAGTTTCTAAATTTTTATCCCTTAGGATTCGAGTTTGAGGGGTGGGGGTGAATTTCGGAGGTAAAATACTGAAATGTGTAAATAAAGCTCAAAAGGCACATTTAAACGTAATATACTATCTCATGAACTTAATGCTGATGTTAAATACAAATATCCTCTCAAAGTCGATTAAACCGCCATTTTTCAAAATGGCGACTAAAAATAACATTTTGATAACTGGAAACATTAATGTGTTGGGTATCATTTTATAAGTTTTTGAGGTCGCTGAATACGTTAGTAATTATAAAAATACTATTAAATACGACCTTTAGCCATTAGTAGGAATTTTGGGAAATATTGTAGAAGTTATAAGTGTGGTTCCAAAAAAATAGGAAATCTGCAAAACCGTTTGTCATGAAATTCGCAGAATACGATTTTACGGATCTCAACAGTTTCTTTGCTCATGAAAATCAGACGTGCCCTCCATCACTATCACTAAATGGAGAAATGAGAAGCGGAGATAAATCCCAGCTTGTGCATATCCTTGAAAACCTTGCACCTCAAACAGCAGCTTCCGATGTTTATGACTCCTTGATACTTGATGGTGACTGGCCCACAGTGTTAAGCCCCGTTCTGGTATTAAAAGCTTCAAAGAATATGTTGTGCAATTGCAGCAACATTAGCAATTCTGTCAAAAAATTAGGAGCAAAGCGGGTTGAGATAGCATGGGACATGTATTTAGAAACAAGTCTTAAGAGCGCTATGTGCAATAGCAGAGGTTCTGGAGTTCGTCGTCAAGATCTTCCAACGAAAGGTTTCATATTCGAATGTTCGCCTTTATTTAAATATATGTAATGTTAATTTATCTGTCTTGAAACCCTGCCAAGTAATTGGGATCGATGATTACCTTCGTAATGATCTAAATAAAGGGGAATTGTTCAGTTATCTAGCCCAATCGCTTTTGGACAGTTCTGATATCCATATTGTGACAAACGTAGGCGATATAATATTATCGTCGAAACAAGGTTCAAGCAATTTCACGATTTCCTATGTACCCATATGGAGGAAGCAGATGGCCGCCTCATTTTACATACGAAGGATATGGTGTCGTACGATGCTGAACGTGTAGTGA